TATGTATGTATGTATGTATGTATGTATGTATGTATGTATGTATGTATATCCTCTTTGTGTGATGGGTTGTTGAACGACATGGCCTCTCTGGATGATAACCCAAAAATTCTGTGAGAGAACATATTGAACCGCGTTGTTCTGTTTTATGTGCCTGAGCTCGCCCGGCCTTGTTGGACCAGGCCTTTGCTGACACCTTTCCAGACAATGCTTTTGGCACCACTGCAAGGATTGCCAACTTGCCACCCATGTTGCTCATGAGCATTATGGCCTGGCAACAGTGGCCACAGGTTGATAAAATGCCATAGTTAGAATCTGATGGCAAGTGTGTCTCACAACTATGGCAACTAGCAGAGTCTAAGCACTGGCCGAAGCTGAGGGAGCCTTGTCAGAGCACTGCTTTGTTGCTGCGTCCATTGCCGGTGTCAACACCTTGGCGTCATCGCAGCCGGCACCAGCTTGGACCACCCCAACAAAGATGTTGCCCGAAGCAGCTGCAGCCTCTTTTCCTCAGCAAGCCATAACAAGCCCACTCCCAGATGGTTGGAGTGCATATGTCTCCCATCTCCCGTCTTTTCTCACACTGCTAGCGCAACCATGTCGCCAAGTTTTTTCGCCATCCTCCTTTGCCTTTCCTTCAAACTTCTTGGTCTGTTCCTTCCCTGCTTTCAATGATCCCTTTGCCCTTAGGTCAGGCAAAAAGAGAGCAAGAACGCCAGAATGCTTCTAATCTTTCACAAAAGAACTGGTGCAAAAAAAGAGTCAGTCCCTCCAACTCTGTGAGGAGGTCGGATTTCATGAGGAGAGATACCTCTTTGTCCTCTCGCTACGCAATGGCTCAAAACTCCACAGCACTGGCAAAACCCTACTTCCTCCAAATATGGAACAGCATGGAACAATGGCCAACCCATCGTTCAGACTCAAACATCCTCTGTCACTTTTCTGCGGAGGTCGCCGATGCACTTGTCAAGCTCATTTCCCGGTGACATTCCTTTGAAGCCATCCAGGTCAACACCTGAATGGAGCAGAGCGAACATTGCCAGTCCTTCAATCCGAGTTGTCCACACAAAACAGGGGTTTGGGACACGTGTCATGACAGGAGGTAACCCTGCAAAGCAGGTTACTTGCGTCAAAGGAACTGAGAGTCTTCGCTTTGAGCGTTGCTTCGACTGCTGCCTGTGGCCCTGCAAGCTGTGACCAGTCACAGTTGCACTTACAGGGGGGGGTTCTTACAGAGAATCCAGTAGCTCGAGCAGGACAAGAAACAAACAGAGATGGCCTGTGACTGCAACTATTCTGCGAATACCTTTGGCAATACCCTCCTCCTGAAGCAGGACAAACTTGTAGATTTCCTTTCAGGGCAAAACACGCGGATGGGACTGTATTCCGGTGGTGCACACTGTTCTTGCTTGTCGTTTTTTCCAAGCTCGGTGCAGGGTCCTTACTGTTGGACACGTGAGTGCCACCACAAAACTCAATACTACTCTCCAATCCCCATGGTGTTTTCTTGTCAGCGAGCAAGTCGTCGATCTTTGGCCCCACGCTCACCACACGGACAGGATCTGGGTAAGTCTCGCCAAAGACTGCTCCTTGTCGCGCTCCGACCCACGCATGAAACACGCGTGAAACAGGCACCAGAACCTCTGCTTGATGGGTGATTGAAAGCACAGTAACTCACCTGCATCCAAGAAAACAACTAGCTAATGGATAAAAATAGCTAATAAATGCTGATAATATATATAGATAGATAGATAGACCTGACTTGAAGCTCGATCACGTGTGGGCAAATACCTAGCTGCACAAGTCCAGACTGAGATTCGGAGACCTGTGATTGCCTTTGCACGGTCAAGAGCAACATCTCGAAAGTGCACCACACAAGACTTCTGGATCATCTGGTTGCAAATCTCCTCAATCTTCCTCAACTCGGCCACGTCAACTGGCTTGGTGTGAGAGAAGTCGAATCGCAGCTTATCCTCCGTCACCAGGGATCCCTTCTGATCCACCTTTTCTCCCAGCACTTGGCGAAGTGCATAGTTCAGGATGTGGGTCGCAGTGTGGTTTTTCGCGACCAATGAACGCCGAGTGTAATCGACCTGTGGCCCAAATGCTTCGCTTCAGTGCTTAAGGAGCTTTAGAGCTTCGAACTATAAAATGTTTCCACAAAGCCAGTTGAGGCAGGCATCGACACAATCACCAGGCATACTTGTTTGAAACCCACTTGGGCCTTGATGGTCACCTGGTCACCAACTTTCAAGTCCCCCTTGCTTTCCACTTGGCCGACGTGCAACACATAGCCAGCCTTGGCTCGGAATTCAGGAGCTGATCGTTCGTGCTTCGAGTGGTTTGAAATTCTGCAGACTTCACCTCGATCTGTCTACTTTGATCTCCAGAAAGGCATTATTGCCATCTCCTCCCACAAATATCAAAAAGAATGATGAAGAACACGTCTTTGTGCTTGTTTCCAAACACCCCGAGGCAACACACGGCAGCCAAAGAAGCATATTTCTGGGCATTGTCAACGGTGAACTCCACACTTCCACACGTAATGGTGGCCTTCGCTGTGAAAGCAGGAGCACTGAGGACAATAATAGGTCTTTGATCTGGGGAAGACTTGAAACGACATCTTCAATGCCACAATGTCTGAGATAAACAATAATAAATGATAAATGCTCATATATAAATGCATGCATGACTTCGCTCTTTGCACTGGGTGCCGAAAACATTTCAATGGAGCTGGCCTTGTCAAAGGTTTGACCTCCCTGCTCTGCATAAAGAGGAGTTTTGTCCAGCACCAGCCCGACGACATCGGTACCACTGTTGCAGCTCTGCACAAACTCCTGGAAGAGCAAAACAAGAAATTTGATGGTAAGCATAGGCTAATACGCTTTCAAATCTGTCAAGCACACTGCAAGCATAACACCTCCACTCCGTCCATGGTGTGGAATGGAAATTCAGTCCTGGCCGTCATAGATGGCTTGGACTTTGGCGGTGTGCTCGTTGCCATCGCCCTTTGCCACAAGAGCAAACACACAAGATCACTACGCTAGAAGCAAAGTGTACAAGAAAGCAACTGGACAGCCTCAGTGTTCCAATCATACTTGATCGTGTCGTCGGTCGGAGTCAGCTTCATACCCTTGATAAGCTTGTCTGTCTCATTTGCTTTCAGCTCCATATCCTATCAAGGAGGAATGCGTGCAAATGGCAAAGCATGAAACCGCGAAGTGTGAAGCGTTTCCACAAACCGCCGCCTTTGTTGTTCTAGCAGACTTCTTCTTCTTTGAATCTTCTCTAAACTCTGCCATCTTCTTTTCAAAGCCAGGCATGTCCACCTCAACCTTGAGTTCTTCGCCCATCAATTGCGTCAAATCAACAGGAAAGCCGTAGGTGGTAAAGAGCAAGAATGCATCCTCTCCCGTGATGTTGCCCTTCTTCGCAAAGGTTTTGAACTGCTTGATTCCACGATCCAAGGTCCTGCCAAATTGGGCTTCTTCCTCTTTAATGATCGCCCTCACATCCTCCGGGTTTTGCTTCAAAGTAGGGAAGGCATCTCCCAGAGTCTCAAGGACTGAGTCAACGAGTTGATGGAAGAAACCAGGAGGCGCATCAAGAATCTCACGACCAAAACGAACTGCACGTCGCAGAATTCGACGCAAAACGTAGCCCCGGCCTTCATTCGAGGGAGTGGCACCATCTGTGAGCGCAATCGTCAGTGTTCTAATATGATCAGCAATGACCCGGTAGGCCATATCCACATGATCCTTGTCCTCTTCGCCGACCTTTCCTCCATACGTTTTGGTGGTGTTTGTCTTCTCCTTGATTGCCTTGAAAATGTGCTGAAACAAATCGGTGTCGTAGTTGCTACGCACATCCAGAAGGACAGATGTAACTCGTTCCAAGCCCATGCCTGTGTCAACACTTTTCGCTGGAAGCTCAATCAAAGTGCCACCCTCTTTTCTCTCAAACTGCATGAAGACATTGTTCCAAATCTCCAGCACATCAGGGTCGTCCATGTTCACCAAGTGTGCTGCATCTCTGCCTCCGATTCGATCATAGTGAATCTCGGAGCAAGGTCCACAGGGCCCTGTGTCACCCATCTCCCAGAAGTTGTCCTTCATGCCAAAGGGCAAAACTCGAGATGCCGGCAAATATCGCAACCAAATGTTTTTGGCCTCCTCGTCCACGGGAACACTTGGCTGCTTGGGATCACCGCCATAGTAGGTGGCATAGAGCCGATCAGGATCCAAATGATAAACCTCAGTCAGCAACTCCCACGCCCATGTGATAGCCTCCTCCTTGAAGTAATCGCCAAAGGACCAATTGCCCAGCATCTCAAAGAAGGTATGGTGATAGACGTCCTGCAATGCAAGTGCTCAGTAAATTGACAGAGAGTGGAAAAAGGCACCTTGACAGTTCTTCATTACAAACAGAGTGTTTTCACAAAGGGGTCCTTGCCCACATCTTCCAAGTCATTGTGCTTGCCACCCGCACGAATGCATTTCTGGGAGTTTGCCGCCCGCTTCAACTTTGCAAATGGGTGACTAGGATCAACCTGACCCACAAAGACGGGCTTGAACTGATTCATGCCTTCAGTGCAGGGCAAGCTGAGCAAACCAAGATTTGATATAGTTTTTACATCGGACATCATCGGACAATATCTGACACTTTGCGCAAGTGTCTGCAACTGATCAGCGCTTGGCACCTGCATTGATGAACAGCAGCGTTGGATCATTGTGAGGGACCACCGGTGACGATGGCACAAAGTCGTGCTTCTTCCCCTTAAAGAAATTCACGAAGGTATCCCGCACTTCCTGACAAAGCAACCATGGCCATGGAACGTAATCATGCTTGGGTGTCATTGACAAAGCAGGTTGGGTCTTGCAGTCCTTGGCTGTGGTGAATTCTCCACTTCCTGGACCTTTGGCACCTCCGAAACATTGAAATGCAGGATTTCAACCCATTGTTTTGTTTAAGTCTAAACCATGCCACAGCATGCCACACCTCAAGCTAAGTATGACGTACGTACGTACATATATACATGCAGTGCATTGCATTACATGACACCACACGACATTACATCACATCACATTGCATTACATCACATTACATTACATACATGACATGACATGACATTACATTATCATACCATACCATAACATATAGCATGCGACTCCCATGCGCTTCCTAGCCTGTCTTTTTAGCACGCGAAGGCGCCGAAGAACCGTTCGTTCCTCCAAACTCCTTCTCTTCGGCAGGTGTCAAGGTTGATGTCACAGCGCTCACTGGTTGCAGCCCGGTTGATGCGAGATAGCCATGGCTCTCCGCCATGCCGTGTCGATGCCTCCAAGAAGTTCACCACAAATAGCTGGGAATCATTTGGGCTCCACTGCAAACAGCCTGGCTGCAGCCAAGTGTCCTTTCACAAGGTTGCAATCTCACTTTTCTACAAAATCTGAGCCATGCGGCTGCGGCCAGCTGACCTCCCACAGGTTACAAGCAATATCAAGCAATTGATGCATCAGGTCATGTGCGGCAAGAAACTTGAACGCTTCTGGTCGGCAAATGTGCGCAAGACTTTTTGAAACACGTTCGCTGTCAATGACTCCTGCGAATGAGCAAACTCACATTTCACACACTGATTGATTCTCTTTTTTGTTCCTTCGGTTGGAATCTCCAGAAAACGGCCACAACCCTTCCTTGAGCTGCGGCGCCCATGCGGCTGGCCAGCTGAAGTATTTGAAAATGGGGTCGTGCTCTTTCAGCAGCAGTCAAGGCTGCCTCGACTCGAGAGCTGGGGCGGCAGCCGGATTCAAACAGCAAGGGAGCCACTCAGGGCATGAAAAGACTTGCCAAGTGACATGCAACGTCACACAGTTCTGCCTCACCCCAATCATCCTGAGAAATCACGTTGGCATTCGCATCTTTGACTTTCAGAAATTGGACCCTTGAACTCAAACCAAGAAAGGACAAGCTGCTGCATGAAAGCCATCACACCCAGGACATGCTGCCAGCTGGTTGACGCAGCACACGCATGCATGGCAGCGGTGCCTGTTAACAAGGTCGCCCTCACATCAAAAATCTGAGAGAATAGTCACAGCGAGAAAGCACCATTCGAGCAAGGCACAGCCAACAACATTGGGTGTCACCGTCTCCGTCTGGTGGCTGGAGAGATACAAAGCTTTGGGCCAGCCTGTGTGCCAACATTTGTGTCGAGGCACCGATGCATGAGCAGTTGAGGTCCCCACATCTCAGGTCCAAAGCGCTTACGGCAGACGAAAGCGAGACAGCATCTGGATCACAACGATCAGACCGCATGGTCCCCTTAGCCACGGGCGAATATGGAAGGCGTGCATCAATTGGATGAATCGCATGACATTGCGCCAGTTGCTTGGAACTCCCAGGCTGCATCTCAATGTCACAGTCTTTCCAGGTTCCGGGCCAAGAGTAATGAGGCCCAGATCCAGCAGCTACATTTCTCCTGAAACCCGTGCTACAATTGCAGCTTGAGAAAGCAGAAGTGTTTTGCGATGATCTCTCCTGAACACTGATGGCCGCATTGAAGCTGATGAGGTCAGGGACACTTGCCAATCGTTCTGCAATGGACCTCAGCACAGTGTCACTATATGGCTGAGAAGTCTCAAGAATCTGGGTCGGAGTTCGACGTTAGACGCTCAGCATATGGTACATAAGCATGTGGTGCTGCGGTCTAGGTACAGGAGCTCCAGTGACCAGTCCCATTTCTGTGAGCGCTCACAGTTGCTGATCACCGAGTTGAGAGTCACCAAGCTGGCACGGACGCCTTGCTTCTGCAGCCAAACCTTGGATGCAAATGATGGGGGTGGTAGCCTGGCGGCCCCGCTTGCTTGCCTTCCATATGAAGATATGAAGTTTCTCCACATCATTCAAGCCACACAAAGCTCCAGCGACAAGTCCCAGTGGCGGGCCTTTTCGCCTGCCAAGTCTACGTAGACTCACATGATCTTCACAGAGCGCAAGTCAGACGATTCAAAACTCAAAGCAACACACTCGCCGCTGTGTGCTTAGATGTGCTGCTCCATAAACTAAGTGTAGTGCATGCAGATACGGCGGCATTAAAGGAGATGGTGGTCGGGCGGATGGAAGCTGCAATTGCCAGGTCCAGCAGCAAGAAGGTCCTCCCATGGGGATGTTGGGGCCCGGCTGCCAGTGCTTTAAAGTTCGTGGAAGCAGGCCCCAACCAGCGCAAAAGTCTCACAAGACTTGGTTGGCACTTGGCACCAGCACAAAAGGCCCGATGATGGTTTTAATCTTTGATATGTATATGAGCATATATGAGCACACATCTACACATATACGACACACAGTAGTCCACTTGGTTGGGGGCCTTGCACCCCTTGTGATTGTCCTCTCCCATCGCCTTGCTCGCTCACAGGCGCTTAATGCAGCATTGCGTGCCACAATTGAGCTGCTGCGGTGAGACATAAGGAGTGCATGGGCCCATGCCTGGCCACCAGCACAAGCACCTCAACTGGGCAACAAGTCAAAGCCCACAGGGTGAATTGCAAGGTCTGCTAGCTGCGCCCAGTGGCTGATCACGGAAGAAGTGGAAATCGCATCAAGCTCAAGATCTTTGCGGAGCATCCAAGTTGAGATATCCAAAGCTTCTCGCCATCTGTTGGCCTTCTCTGCCGTAGTTATTAGAGTGCTGCTTGTGAACAAATGCATCTGCATGGATGCACACCTCACCTGGGGCAGGCGCGACTGGACATAGTAGTACCTTGACGTAGGCTGATACATCTTAGCAAGTAAAGTATGTCTCATGTCTCATGGGGTAGCCTGCTTCAAGAGGTTCAGCCCATCATCCCAACTGCTCGTTAGGCGAGCGGAGTTCGCCACATTACTCCACGAGAAAGCATCCCGCCGCATCTGAGTCAGTGAGTCAGAGTTGGAAGTGGCCCTATCCAGACCCAGGCTTGCCAAAACAAATCAAAACAACGTGTAAATTAGTGCCTCTATCTGTATCTATCTGTATACGTATACAACTAACTATGCATGCACAATTGCCACAGTGGTCCAAACGGGCTACAGAAATTGATTCATATTGTTCCACTGATTCATGCCCCCATGAGCAACCACCGCACGGGCGCAAGGTAGCTGGTCATAAACCAAATTGTCCGAGGCACACCACGGCCTTGCGCAAGCTCTGAAATGCTGAGCACATTCTTCCACATGCCCTGCTTCTCCAAGCTGTTCGCCATGCTGTTGAAAGAAACTACACCCTGGGCATCGGGCTCAAAACCGTGACTTTGGAATGGACTTAAGACGCTTCAATGCTGAACATGAACAAAGACCCAAATCGCTGGCGGGCGACACGCTGCACGTGTTGCTCCGACATGCTATGGAGGATCCGGAACGCAACTGGCCAAGTATTTCCACCTCAGTGATGAGATATTTTGGCGAATCCACTATCTACCTGGCAATGGCAAAGGTCTGCAAAGCAGGAAGGGCACCTGTTTCCTCCACAGCGAAGGCAGCCAAAAGGACATTGTTTAGAACCAGGCTCGGCCTCACTCTTCTGTGGCGTACCTGCATCATGGCGACGGGTTCTCATCGACCCTAACTTTGACGTCCCGGGCTGCCTGCCCGAGCAAAACCAGCGCGGCTTGCCATTTTCGAGCAGTTCCTACGCTTTGCATTTGTTGAATGACCAGGGTATCTGTGGCAGCTCGCCGGACCTCAATGAACAAAGAAATGCTTTTGGCTGACAGGCACATATAGCCAGCAGAACTTTTAACACTCCACTCAAATTCAGATCTGGGGCCAGAACAGAGTGTCCAGAAAGGATTGCCAAAACAAAACCCCAGTGGCATTTGCACAGCCATGCCGAGATAGCAGTGTTGGACCTGCATCTGCATCGCGGTTGATAAGCACACTAGTTCATTGTGACAACCGATTTGATTTGCTAGGTTTCCTTCAGCATTGATCTTGCGAGTTTTGACCAGGGCACTTCAAAGGGACATTCAGGGATGCGAGAACTGCAGCCCACTTCTGACCACCCTGCAAGCTGAAAGTATGCAGTATACAATAATTTGGAAGTCTGCAAGAAACACTTGGCCTCTACCTGGGTGGGCCGCTGCGCCGCCATCAAAAGCCATGGCCGCTAGTCGTGCTGTGTCTTTCTTCCAGCGTGGTGTTCCTCCGTCGGGAGAGTTCCGGACGTGATCGATGCAAAACAACTTCCCCAAACCCTAGCAACCCCCAGCTCTTGTCTTGCACTTCTCTTGAGCCAAGACTGCCTGTGATGTTGAAGTCTGAGCATCTACCTCTGCAAATAAAGTATTCTGCATTGAGACTCCGCACGTTGTTGTTGCCGTATGCCAGGATTGGTCGTTTCCTGGCATACTAGCGAACCAACCAATCGCACACACTGCTCTGATTCTGCCGGCTTTTCAGGAAGGTCAAGCAACCAATGAGAAAAACTGAGAACAAGACACCACCCTGGACAACCCTGCCATTTCTGAACCTAAGCCACTTTGTTGGACAGTGCTTTGCACTTCCGCCACACACCTGGGGACCGGGCTGCCGGCCCAATTTCCATCTTTCCCAGTTGTTTGCAAATACCTATAGTAGATTCGAGACAATGTGCTCCAAGTATATCAACCACACGGAAAAGTAACAAGCGACTGAAATTGGAGGAGTTGCTCATCTGCATGCTTCAGAACATACTCGCACATCTGGTCCAAAGAATACTCTGCAACCACTTTGCGCACCTGAGCGTGAAGAGCGGATTCATCGTTCATGTAACTCCCACAGTTTCCCTCCTTCAGTGCCAGCCCTCTTGGACCCTTGTGCTCTCTGAGACGGGTCCTGCTGCCTCTGAGAATAGAGCTTGTCGATAAAGTCCCTACTAGGCAGCACTGGCGGTTTTGTTTCAAATAGAAAATGAACACCCCTGCCTCTCGATCCCACCTCGGCTCTGTGTGTTCCACACGTGAAGCTTGGACCCTGATGACCCTTGCAAGGTGCTTGGCGGAAGTATGCCGGCTGCCAGCTCTGTCTTGTTGCTGCTGATGAACTCCTCTGCCATGTCCTAAACTCAGCCGCCGGTGCACAAAACCAACAAACAGCTTTTGACAACTTCAGTCAGATCATCCTTTGCAGGTCTGGAATGCCTTACTTACAACCTACCTCCCCGGTCCCCATTACTACATATTACTACAACATACTACGACCAACCCACATGAGCTTGAAAAGGCCATCTGCCTGAGGAGAGGGCCGTGAAAAGCTCTCGCAAGCGCCACTCAACTGGTGATGGCAGCGGCTCACTGGTGGCGGAGAGTGCTTTCAACTGGCCAACGGCAGCAGGCTCTCACAAAATGAGCGCAAAATACTCCAAACTCAAACGCAAGCGACACACCTCTGTGATAAACTTTGTCTCATCAAGAATTGCCTGCCAAGCGCACTTATATACCCGTTCAAAGGCTCCTCACACATAGCCTCTCTACTCACACCTGTGAACCCATGAGCGCGAAATCAACTCGCGGCAGCCGTACCAATCTGCGAAGTTGCGAAGCCTTTTCTCGCAGGGGCATGTCCTGTCACTCTTCGACATTCTTCAAGCCGATGGGTTGCAGGCACCCGAGTCTGCTTCAAGCCTTCCACTTCTCTGCAAGCTCACTTCCCAAGCTCTCTTCCACATCTTTCGCAGTAATTTGTGGAGCCATGGAGAGGAAAAGGCAATTTCCGCCAGCACCTGGGACGCACATCATTCAGCATCCAAATGTCTAATCAGTACAGCGAGGCACGAAGCTCTAAGCCATCCGCCCTTATCTTGCGAGCTCCATCCATGCCGTTCCTTCAAGTTTTGAAGGATTTCCTGAAGCTCCGCACGGCACTGGATGGTCCACGATTATTCCTTTGGGTTCGAAAATGTCCTGATCAGTCATGCGGACCTCATGGGCTGGGTAGTCCTTCAGTCGCCAATGTTGCACAGCCGCACTCTAATGCCCTTTCGACATGTTGGAACATCTTTGAAGTTTGTTCAGTCCTGAACCATGCCGAACCGAACCTTGGCGCGAGTGCTTTGGACTCTCTCATGAACAATCAACAACTCGCGGCTGGCTGGCCTTAGAGCCGGACTGTCCGACGTACGCGGCAAGCCTGCGTGACCTAGCTAATCTGACACACTGAATTGGTGTCTGACAGCCTTGGCATGCACTCAAAACCATGTTACGCTAGCTATGTAAGCTTCGCACACCAAAGCGTCCTGATGTTCTTCCGCCAAAACAGACTTCAAAGGCTGTCAGTTTTATGGGCAACCGCACGGCATATGCATCTATATTCACTGCTGTTTATATTATGTATATATATATGTGTGTGTGTGTGTGTGCGTGTGCGCATGTATGTATGTATGTATGTATGTATGTATGTGTGTAAGTATGTATGTGTATGTACGTACGTACGTATGTATGTATGTATGCAGGCATGCATGCATGTATCTGTGTATGTGTTTTTTTTGCACGGGCTTTTCGGTGCAACGAGGTGCTACTGGAACATCTGCCTCAGGTCTTGTGAGCGCGGGTCTGGACAGGTTCTCTAAGCTTCTTGCTTAGGGCCAATCTTTGACGCGGCCTTTGGCCTGGCATCGCGAGCATTCGGCCATTTGGCCTTGCCAAATCATCGTGTGACTGGCTCCGCCACTCCAAAGAGAGGAAGCTAAGGGCCCGCTGTGACAGATGCCACCAAAGAAGGTGATGAAGTTGGCTTCTTTCGCCCTCGCAAGGATGTAGGCTTTGCATTGATCACAGGGGTAGGCCTTCTTGAGCCGGAGGAAGTGGGCGCCAGGCAATGGAAAAAAGTCTGCTGGCTGACACAAGGTCTCGGATCACCTCCATTCTTGGCTTGCAATGACGACGGCCTTCTAAGGAGGACGTCGGGCATCCTGAGTTGGTTTCTCCTTGGCATGGAGGAAATGGTCCTTGTCTCGAAGCAGATGATCCATTCTCTCCGCAGCAGCAAGAAGGATGGCTCAGTGTCCTCGTGTACTCTTGCCGCGCGCGAACCTGGGCAATCTCCTTGGTGAGATCCTCAGCAGCAGGTTGACCCTCTTTGGAAAGAAAATGCAATGGGCGGATCTGCTCAAAATCTTCAAACTCCAGCCCAACATAGAGGCCCAGGTAAAGGTCGAAGGCCTTGTATGGAGTCCAAGACTTCCAGGTGTGGTAGTCAGAGAGATCCCAACATGCGTCTTGTCCAGAAGATCCCGGCGCTTGGTGGCTTCTCCTGTCTCGGAGGCAACACACTCGCGGGCGTTGATGTCAAAGATGGCGACTGCAAAGACATACTGGCATCGTTTTTCGAACACGTCGTGGCAATGTCCAAGCAGCATGCCTGGCCCTGCTTGAGATGAGTGGCCTTGAGATCATGCCATAGACCAGTGCCCTTGAAGGCGCTCATGCCTCCACGCCGTTCTCTGAAGAGGTTTTGCGCCATGCCCCGCTTCCAAAGCTCCGGCTCGATGCTGTGCAGAATTCGATGAAACCATTCAGCAGGAAGAGCTTTGACCTTGCCATCCCAAAATTTGCACTCCCACAGGAGGTGTGTGAAGGAGAGGTCAGCCCCACATTGAGGGCATGAGCCAGACTGGCCACGCAAAGTGCCCTGGAAAAAAAGCAAACCAATGAGAAAACGCTCACTGGTGTTGTATTCTTTTGAACCTTGAGGCTGACAGTCCAGTCCAAGGAATTTCGGTAACGCGTAAGGCGCAAGAGTCGCTGCCTCTTGATTTCAGCCTCGAACTTGTGCTGCAAAGTGGGCCAATCATCTAGAAGAGAAAGGACGCAATCAGGAATGCCTCCATACCCCTCCATACCCAGTGCGCTTCCACAATTGGCCATTGTTCAGGTCAAAGTCCCAATCCAAAAGATAGGCTTGGAGAGGTGAAGGGCCACATTCCAGCTGGACCAAAAGAGATGTCAGTATCAAAGCCATGGAGCACCTTCCGTCTGGTGTCAGGATGGCTTTCAAGGTAGTGGCAACCTCCTTGGAACTGGTCAGGAACCCGTCTTGTCCGCGTTGAGATGAATGCCTGCTTCTTGAAGGCGGTGTCGGATCTGATCGGATCGGATCGGATTGGGCGCGAAGCTCCGAAGAGCTTGGCCGGCTTGACATAAGAAATCAGTCAAGAAGGGACTCAGGGCAGGGCCGTCCCAAAAGTTTCTCTCCTTTCTATACACCACAAAACAAAATCCACAGAACGGCGCCAGGTAACACACCCTGCAGGGAGCGCTACCCAGGCCGCCGCGCGGAGCAGTTCCAATGGCCCAGGTGACAAAATACCAGCGCGCACTGTGGCGCTTGTCGTCCGCCGCATCCAGCCGCGCGAAGCGGTTTCAAGGATGCAGCGAGCCATTCAAGCAGTACAGTTACAAATTCGCCCAATCCTGGCTGACACAAAGAGCCGAGGTCAAAGAAAGAACAGCCCTATCATGCCATCAACTCCGGATCACGAAAATCCACAGTCAACTGACGATCCCGGATATGACCTGCAAGCAGGGCCGCACGTGCGGACGCGACCTCAAAAAATCAGGGTCCCAGTTACTTGTATCCCCTTCAATTTGATTTCCGGGAGACACAGTCCGGCCAGGCTCTCACTCAAACTACAGCTACCTATGATCACAAGGAGGGCTAGAGACATGCAAAAAGACGCCGTTCAATGTGGCGTCGACGTGACACGTGACTACAAGAGTCACGCTGGCCGGAAGAACATTCTATACAGTCTATACATGAGAATCCGGTGTCTTTGTTAATTGGAGGTCTGTACATCACACATATCATCTACGAGTGTCCGCTGGGTCACCCAGCTTGAAGGTGGTGTCGAAGAGGCCTGCAGAGGCTCAGGATCAGTTTGGACATGGCTGGAGCTTGGGGACAGCCCTGACGATCACTGACCACTCCCTCCGCTTGAGTGAGACGAGGTCCCCTGTAGAGGTCCAGAGGAAGCTTGAGATGCAGGGGAGGGTAGTGCAGTCCAGTGGCTGGCCCGATGATGTGATCCAAGGTGACCGTGTCATAGAAGCAGGAAAGATCTGCTAAGCACGTGACAGTGTGGACCCCCTGGTGATGACAGATCTCGGTGGTCAGCAC